CCTGTAACGGTGCCTGTAACGGTGCCTGTAACGCTGCCTGTCGTGCTGCTTGGTGAAACAAACACCCTTATCCGCCCCACCCTCCTTGATGCCTGACGCCTAGCAGGTTCCTCTACGCCACGCTCGTCCCACAGGCCACGACTGCAATTGGCGCGCAGCTCACCATGCATACGTTTGAGGCGCCTCGAACGCAGCTCACCATGCAACCTACTGTGAGCTCTTCCCCCATCTGCTCCACTCCCCCCTGCGTCCCAATCACTCACTCCTTTCCACGCAGGTTCCTCCACGCTACATTCGTCCCGCAGGCCAAGTATGGCAGCGGCGCGCAGCTCTCCAACGTGGCAGGGGCGCGCAGCTCTCCAACGTGGCAGCGGCGTGCAGTTCTCCAACGTGGCAGGGGCGCCTCACAAATAGCAACCTCCCTGTCAACCCCTGGTTCCTTCCGCACCTCACCAACGTCACAATCAATCACTCCTTTCCCCGCAGGTTCCTCTACGCTACATTCGTCCCACAGTCCAAGTACGGCGTTGGCGCGCAGCTCACCAACGTGGCAGGGGCGCCTCAGAAACAGCAACCCGACTCTCAACCCTCTCCTGTTCCATTCTCTCCCCTGTTCCCATGTAGGTTCCTCTACGCTACGTTCGTCCCGCAGGCCAAGTACGGCGTTGGCGCGCAGCTCACCAACGTGGCAGGGGCGCTGGCGCTGGCGGTGGCGTCAGGGCGGGTGCTGGTGTTGGGAAAGTTCCCGAGGGCGATTCACGGCGGGTGTGAGGGGCGCAGGCACGGCCGCTGGCACTGCTTCTTTGCACCGGAAACGAGCGATGCATGCCGAAGGTGTGTGTGTGGTGTGGTGTGGTGTGGCGTGGCGTGGCGTGGTGTGGTGTGTTGTGGTGTGCAAGCACGGCCGCTGGCACTGCTTCTTTGCACCGGAAACGAGTGATGCATGCCGAAGGTGTGTGTTTGCCCCAAATCCATTCTTCACCTGTTTTATTCCCTCTCAGCCGTTATTCCACGAGTGAGATTTTTCTAAGAAGGAAATAAAGAAAAACTTCAGGAGAAGTTTTAGATGTGCACCGTGGAATCCTGCTTCGTACCGATTCCCTTCCCTTCCCTTCCCCCATCCCACAGACGTGCTCATGACCTGATGGCCAAGCAGCAAGCGCAGCATCCCGCCACAGCAGAACCAGGATCAAATCTTCAGGCGGAATCCAATCTCCCAGCGGAATCAGACGTGCACTCGAGCCTGGCTGTGGTGCGACGGCAAGACATTCCCGAGGAGCTCGTGTGGTTCCCCCGTGTACCCTCCTTGTGGGGGGAGCCGTGGCTGCGCATCCCTGCTGTTATTGAAATCAACGGGCACATGCGACAAACCACCAAGACTGGGTGAGTGGTGAGGCGTCTCGTGCTCTCAAACCTGACTATGGTGCGACAACAGGATATTCCCCGTGGGCTTGTGTGGTTCCCGTTCCCACCTGTGCCCGCCCTGTGGGGGGAGCCGTGGCTGCACATCCCTGCTGTTATTGAAATCAACGGGCACATGGGGCTAACGACCAAGACCGGGTGAGTCACTAATTGCACAATGACGGCAAGAGGACTCTGCAGACTGCTGCTCCCTGGAGATGACACAAACCCTTTTTTAGGCACCTCAAAAGACGACTTTTGAGGCGCCTCGAAACACAATGACGGCAAGAGGACTCTGCAGACTGCTGCTCCCTGGAGATGACACACAGTCCACTCCACACACCCTCGAAGGTTTGTGCTTCTTGCTTGCTTCCATGTGCTTGCACATGCCTCGTGCTTGATTGCTCTGCCCATAGCTATTTGCCTTGCTCTGTTCATCCCTTCCTGCAGCAACAAGGACCGCTGGTGGAGAGCACAGGCATGGCACTCATTGCTGCGTCGCCCTCGTGCTACCACTGCACAGGATCGTTCATGCCAGTGCTACCCCCGCCCTCTGCCCATGCATTGCTCTTCCCATCCCTCACTGCAGCAACAAGGACCGCTGGTGGAGGGCGCAGGCATGGCACTCATTGCGGCCTTGCCTTTGTACATGCCCCTCACATGATTGCTCTGCCCATTGCCCTGCCCTTTGCTGTCTGCAGCAACAAGGACCGCTGGTGGAGGGCGCAGGCGTGGCGCTTCCTCATGCGCTCGCCCTCGCGCTACCTCTGTGCCGTCATCAATCGGGCCAGGCACGCAGCCTTCGGGCCAATGGCAGCTCGCCACGTGGCGCGCGCAGAAGCCGCGATTCTTCAAGCTGAGAAGCTGAGCTTTGCTGCGGGCACTCACCGTGTTAACCTTTCTGAGACTGAGGTCCAACAGTCCATCTCTGCCAATGCGGGTATTTTCCATCGTAATCGTTCGCAGAGTGGCGGTTTTAACGGCGTTCTCGTAGGCGCCAGGTCAGCGCCGTGGGTGCCGCGGCCTCTGGTGAGCATGCACGTGCGCATGGGGGAAAAGGCAAGGGAGATGGGGGTGGCGGGCTTCGGCACGTACCTGCACCTGCTGTCAAGAGTGCGAAAGTTCGAGCCTTCCGCTACAACCGTCTGGCTGAGCACAGAAATGCAGCCGGTAAGGCAACTGGGACATTACCGGCACACGACACGACATCCCATAATGCTGCTCCATCTACTCTCACTGCTCCCGTTCCATCATCCCATCCCATCCTCCTCTCCTTTCACTGCTGTGTGTTGCCCTTTCCGAAAATGCTCCCTTCAGGTTTTGTTTCGTGGGGATTGTTTTTGGGGGGTACGCTGCGGTCTCACTTTTGTTGACCGAGATTTTGATGATTTTATTGCTGGCTACTGTTGGCAGGTTGTAGAGAGGGCCATTCGTACTCCTGGGTGGGACTGGAAGGTCACCAACGTACCTCGGATGCAAGGAAATGAGAGCATGCCAGGCTTTGAGGCTCGGATCGGGCCCCAGTGCAGCGTTGAGAATGCTTGGGTAAATCTGCTTATGGCAGCAGAGGCTGATTATTTCATAGGTGCTCTTGGTTCGACGTGGTCCATGCTAATTGATGGCTTGCGGTGTACAGGAGGAAAGATGCTCGCTGGTTTTCTAAGCACATCAAGGGACAGGCATTGGTAATGAGAAAAGTTTCCAGTGGAATGCTGGCATATTATGCTTGCCTATCATTTGTGGAAGCACTTTGTTGTACAGAGTTCATTTCAAGTTTGAAGTGAGTTTGATCTACAATCGCAGACTGGACGCACAGAGCTCATGTTTTTCTTATTAGTTGGTATTTTTCCGAACCAGACCTGACCCAGACTTGAGCCTCGGCCCACAGCACACCTTACGGTGGCGGGAAGCCAGGCTTGGTTCATGACCGAAGTTCGGCGTTGAGTTCTTTAGCCCAGATCAGGTGAACCGAACAGAGCTAGTCTCCGGCCTATCAGTGCATTTTGTCGTGTGGCTCGGCGAGGGCTCCCGCCCCAGGAATCTGGGTATGTGGGCCTGCTGCGCGAGACTGCCCTCGATTTCATCCAATTTCCCAACCAAAGTCCGAACCAAACCTAGCTTTCGGTTCGCTGCTTTCCCACAGAACACACAGGGATAGAGATTGAAATCTCGAAGTCGTCCTAGGGTCTAGACTCTAGAGTTGAGGAGCTGACACACAACACAAGCAACCTCCATTTGGCTGAAGCAGCCCCGATTGACATGACGTGACAGAATCAGGAATCGTCTTGCTGTTTTTCAGCACTACATTGGCTGACCAGACTGGTCATTGACAAGACGTTTAGTCGGCTTTTGATCACCTTATAAGCCTGGTCCGCCGGCACGGTCGAGCTCAAACCGCGTCGTCAGCTCCAGCCACCATAGTCTCATGTGCTCGTTGGTCCACAAGTAAGCTGACAGATGCACTAGATCGATGCTTGACCGATTCTTGCATGACCGCTGCTAACCAAACCAGTTATTTCCCTTGAGGTTCCTAGCATCTGAACTCTTATCAGCTTCCTTAGCTCGACATCAATCATTTGGGGTTCAACTCTACTATTGACATCCTTAGTTTTTACATAATGGAAAGCTGATTCCAGCCCCTTCCGTTGATTAAGAAGCTACAGCTCAGATGGGTATCGGGGGGTTCTTACGTTCCGGAGCCTCCTTCGCGGGTCGGTTCGTGGCCGTTCTCGCGGTCCACACGCTAGGACGGGTCGTATGGCCATTCTTCCGAGTCGCCGCGATCGCCAGCAGCAATGTCTGGTCCAAGCTGCCTCTCCGCCTGGTACGCGTTTCTATTAGCATTGCTGTTTTGTTTTCATATTCCTACCGCAGCAGCAGCTGCAGCCTCCTGGTCCTGCTTGTCATGTCGTTAGCAGTCTGTCACGACACGTGTGATTCTGGATCGCCATTTGCGGTCGGTTCAAGGGAACAGTGGAGCACGTGCGACGCGAGGTCGCACTCAGCACGCATGTCCATGGGAAACTCAAATGGCAATAAACGACACACGTGGCAGTGAACGGCACACATGGCCGTGAACGACACACACAACAATGAATGGCAAGCATGACACGTAGCATGACAATGAGTGGCACGCATGACATTGTATAACACGCATGACAATGAGTGCCAAGCATGACAATGAATGACACGCATGACAATGAGTGGCACGCATGACAATGAGTGACAAGCATGACAATGAACGACAAGCACGACAATGAATGACAAGCATGACAATGAGTGACAAGCACGACAATGAATGACACGCATGACAATGAATGACACTCATGACAATGAATGACACGCATGACAATGAGTGACACGCATGACAATGAATGACACGCATGACAATGAATGACACGCATGACAATGAATGACACGCATGACAATGAATGACACGCATGACAATGAATGACACGCACGACAATGAGTGACACGCATGACCATATTGACACACAATCTGCTCCACGCTCACTCCAACATGACTACAACCCTGAACTTCCAACTCTTCCATACCCAACAAGTCCTAACCATGCCCAACCTCCCCTCACGCACACCAGATGCCGGCCGGAGCAGCCAGTTCCGTGGCGCGGCTGCGGCCCTTCTGCGTGCCGGTGTTGCTGCAGGTGGCTCTCAGCTCGCTCATCCCCCTCGCCTTCCCCGATGTCTGGCGCACTCTCCGCTTCTGGGACCGCCTCATGCCCATCTACATGGGGTGCGTTGTGAGAGTAACGCTGAATGCTCTTTGGGAATCACATTTGAGAATTCTCAAAGGTTTTTTTCGCTTCTGGGACCGCCTCATGCCCATCTACCTGGGGTGAGTTCTTTGGGCCGCCTTCATTGCTCGGGCGTGCGTTCTCTCTCTGAGGGACGTCCATTGTTCATGTCCGTTCTCTGGGATGCTTATTTTGAGGCGTCTAAAAGACTCATTTGTGTCCACAAGGAATGCGTTCGTTGGGCTTCCGTACTAACTCATGCCGATCTCCGTGGGGTGCGTCTCGTGAGGCGCATGTATTGTTTTTCTACATAGGGAAGCAAGTGGAAGCATCTGTGTGCATGTCACTTCTCTACCCCAAACCCCATCCCCCCAACCCCCCACCCTCGTTTCCCCACCCACCTTTTTTTCCTCCCACCCCTTTCCTCCTCCTCCCTCCTTCTTCACCCTTTCACTCCTCTCAACCCCGTCCCCTCCCTCCCCTTTCCCCCCTCACCCTTCCCCACCTCCCACCTCCTTCCTTCTCCAACCCCTCCCCCACCATTTACATGAAGACTAAGCTGGCGGTGCGCAAGAAGCCCATTGAGGTTCGTTGGAGGCTCCTAAGAACACCCCCCCCCCCCCCCCCCCCCCTCCCCCCCCTTAACCCTTGGTCTCCTCCCCCCAGGTACATGAAAACGAAGCTGGCGGTGCGCAAGAAGCCCATTGAGGTTCGTTGGAGGCTCCTAAGAACACCCCCCCCCCCCCCCCCCCTCCCCCCCCTTAACCCTTGGTCTCCTCCCCCCAGGTGCATGAAAACGAAGCTGGTGGTGCGCAAGAAGCCCATTGAGGTTCGTTGGAGGCTCCTAAGAACACCCCCCCCCCCCCCCCCCCCCCCTCCCCCCCCTTAACCCTTGGTCTCCTCCCCCCAGGTACATGAAAACGAAGCTGGCGGTGCGCAAGAAGCCCATTGAGGTTCGTTGGAGGCTCCTAAGAACACCCCCCCCCCCCCCCCCCCCCTCCCCCCCCTTAACCCTTGGTCTCCTCCCCCCAGGTACATGAAAACGAAGCTGGCGGTGCGCAAGAAGCCCATTTAGGTTCGTTGGAGGCTCCTAAGAACACCCCCCCCCCCCCCCCCTCCCCCCCCTTAACCCTTGGTCTCCTCCCCCCAGGTACATGAAAACGAAGCTGGCGGTGCGCAAGAAGCCCATTGAGGTTCGTTGGAGGCTCCTAAGAACACCCCCCCCCCCCCCCTCCCCCCCCTTAACCCTTGGTCTCCTCCCCCCAGGTACATGAAAACGAAGCTGGCGGTGCGCAAGAAGCCCATTGAGGTTCGTTGGAGGCTCCTAAGAACACCCCCCCCCCTCCTCTCCCCCCCCTTAACCCTTGGTCTCCTCCCCCCAGGTACATGAAAACGAAGCTGGCGGTGCGCAAGAAGCCCATTGAGGTTCGTTGGAGGCTCCTAAGAACACCCCCCCGCCCCCCCTCCCCCCCCCTTAACCCTTGGTCTCCTCCCCCCAGGTACATGAAAACGAAGCTGGCGGTGCGCAAGAAGCCCATTGAGGTTCGCCACGAGAAGTGGGCTGTGCGCCACGAGTGGGGCGGCAAGTGAGTGAAAACTGGGCGGCTGTGAGCTGGGATGGGCGGCAAGTGAGCGGGGTTGGGGCGGGAAGTGAGTGGGAGTGGGGTGGCAATTGAGCGTGAATGGATATTTGAGTGGGAAATGAGCGCGGGCGGGTGAGAGGGAATGGGGCAGCAAACGCCAGCATCCATGAGGCAGCATGCGTCAGGCAGCAAGTTTGGTCGACAAAATATTTGAAATAGCTGAGCAAGAGTGAGGAGACTAGGGATAGGGCGCAGAGCACCGTCTTGTTCTCATTTGGTTGCTCTTTTTGTCCTCTCACCACCACCCTCACCACCACCCCCACCACCATCCTCACCACCAGCCTCATCCCTCTTCCACTGATGACCTCTCTTCCCTCTCCTCTTCCCTCCCCATGCAGGCTAGTGCACGATCTGGTGCTGCGTCTCTGCGGCCCTTGAAAAATCTCATGATTCATCTGGTGCTTCCCTCCCCACCCTCCCCTCCCTTTGCCTCCCTCTTCTTCCCCAACCCCCATGCAGGCTAGTGCACGACCTGGTGCTGCGTCTCAGCGGCCTCTACGTCAAGTCTGCACAGATCCTTGCCTCCAAATCGGTACACTTCCATCCTTGCCTCCAAATCGGTACACTTCCATCCTTGCCCCGCATGTCCCCATCCGTGTCCCCATTCCCATGTTCCCGCCCATGCCCGCCCCCCATGTTCCCCCGCATGCCCCCCCCCCCCCCCCCCCCATGTTACGGCGCCCAGCACTCACAGCTATGCCAACCCCGCCCCCTTCCCGCATCCCCCATGCTGTCCCCCCTGGTGGTGCCTTCCTCCTCCCCCCCCCCTCTGCCCCTCAGGACTTCATGCCAGCAGCGTGGGTGCGGCGCCTCTCAGCCCTATTCGACAACGTGCCCCCCCGCCCCTACTCGCAAGTCATCCGCTCCATCCAATGCGAGCTCGCCATCTGTCCTCCCCCTGCTGCTGTCCCTACTGCCCTCCCTGCTGCTGCCGATGGTGACGCTGTCGCTCCCTCCGTTCCTGCTGCCTCTGCTGCTGCTGATCCTGCTGCTGTTGCGAATGGTGAAGCCCCTTCTGTCAAGCCCGCTACAGCCGACATTCCACCCAGTCAAAGCAAGTCAACGCAGGTCAAGCGCCGCGCACTGCTGGTAGCAGACGTGTTTGAGAGCATAGACGAGGAGTCCCTCGCCTCTGCCTCCATAGCCCAGGCGCATGCAGCTGTGCTCCTGCACTCGCTCCCTGAAAACCTCCCCACTGACCCCACCAAGGTGCTGCCCATTCTGCCGCACCTCACGAGTAAAGAGAAGGACGCCCTTGGGATTGCCGCGGAGTGCACTGAGGTGTGCTTTGTGGCGAAGACGGATCGGCTGTGGGTGACGCCGCTGTTCCAGTCGGCTTTCCCGTCACCGGCTGTAGAGACAGCAGTTGCAGCGGCAGCAGATGCAGCAGAGGCAGGTTTACCAGCAGCGACAGGAGAAGATGCAGCAGGAGCGGCAGCAGGTGTTGTGAGTCCGCTGCAGGTTGTAGCAGCACCAGGGGCTGCAGCGGCAGCAGAAACACCAGCAGCAGCAGCAGAAACAGCCACAGTGGCAGCTGTTGTGACTTCTTCCCCTGCAATAGGTTCAGTAGGTGCAATGAGTGCAGTAGGTGCGAGCAGCAGTCCAGCCACAAGGAGAACCGTGCCTGGGGTGATATCCCGCCTGGTCCCACTGGACCGCAAGCCAATCGGAGTCATGACTGCCGATGGAACCATCAAACCCATCTCTCCTGCCGGCCCTGCCCTACCTTCGCCTTCTGCTGCTGGAGTAGGAGCAGCAGCAATTGGAGCAGCAGGAGCAGCCATGCTGAAGCGGCCTATTCCTCCCCGGTTGGCAAATGACAGGACAGAAGAGGGCGAACAAGAGGAGGAGGGCGAGGAGGAACAGTTTTTCGATGGTGAGGGAGGGGAGAGCAGCGAGAGTGGGGACGAGAGGGACGATTTCTTTGACGCGCATTCCGAGGCCCATGAACTCGGCGCTGACGTGGCGAACAGCAGCCACGTGGCAGCGTGTGAGGGACGGGAGGGAGGGGCCACGGGAGCAGCAGAGGGGGGGACCGGCGAAGAGGGAGGTAATGAGGAGGAGAATGAGAGGGAGCGGGAGAGGGAGAGGCAGCGGGGCAGGGCGGTGGTGGTGAAGGTGCAGCATCTGGGCATGGATATCATCATGCGCTCCGACCTCAGAAACATTGGCCGCGTTGCTGAATTCCTCTCGCCCCAGCTGCCCTTCGACCTCCGCAATGTGAGCCCTGCATGGTGTGGTGTGGTGTGCTGTGGTGGGGTGGGATCTGGCATGGTGTGGTGTGGTGAGGTGTGCTGTGATGTGGTACGGTGTGGTGCAGTGTGGTGTGGTGTGGTGTGATGTAGGCACGTGCCTGTGAGCTGTTGAGGCAGTGGGGCAGAGCGGTGGTGGTGAAGGTGCAGCATCTGGGCATGGATATCATCATGCGCTCCGACCTCAGAAACATTGGGCGAGTAGCTAAGTTCCTCTCGCCGCAGCTGCCCTTTGACCTCCGCAATGTGAGCTCCCGTGTGGTGTGGTGTGGCGTGGCGTGGCGTGGTGTGGTGTGGTGTGGTGTGGTTTAGGCATATGCAGTGCGAGCTCTGCTGCCCTTCATGACCACCATTCGCCACAACCTCGCCTGCAGAGGTTTCTTGCCCTTTGCCCGCTGCTCCTTCTGCCCCCTCATTCCCATTCCCCGCTTCCTACTCTTTTTTCCCTTGCGTCTACCACCTCCCCTTGAATCCCTCGCCTCGTTCCCCTCCCCCTGTCCCCCTTTCTCGAGCCAGATAGTGAAGGAGATACAGCAGACCATTCCCAACAATTCCCACGCTCCTCTCGCCCCCGTCCCTTGCCCCCTTGCTCTTTTTCAACCCACCAACCAGATAGTGAAGGAGATGCAGCAAACGATTCCCAACGAGTTCAACTTCCAGAGGGAGGCCGCCTTCATGACCACCATTCGCCCCACTCCATTTTTCCCCCACAACCTCGCCTGCCGAGGCTTGCTGCTCATCGCCCTCTGCTCTTCCCACTCCCTCATTCCCACTCCCCCCCCTCCCCCCCTTTCCTCTGCCCCCTCCCCTCTTCCGCATCCCCTCTCCCCTCGTCCCCCTCCCCTCTTTCCGCTCCCCTCGTCCCTGTCCCTTGCCCCCTTGCTCTTTTTCAACCCACCAACCAGATAGTGAAGGAGATACAGCAGACCATTCCCAACGAGTTCAACTTCCAGAGGGAGGCCGCCTTCATGACCACGGTGCGCCACAACCTCGCCTGCCGGGGCTTCCACCAGGTCGTCTGCCCCACGCCCGTCTTGAGTCTCTGCACGCGCCGCATGATCGTCATGGAGGTACGCAAGGGGTGCTGTGCGGTGATGTTGGGTGCAGTGGCGTGCGATCAGGTGCTGCTGGTTGCTGTGTGAGGTGGTCTCAAGGCTTCCACCAGGTGGTCTGCCCCACGCCCATGCTGCACCTCTCCACACGCCGCATGATCTTCATGGAGGTACGTGTGGGGTTGCAGTGGTGGTTGTGTGGTTCTGTCAGGTGCTGCTCTTGCTATTGCTCCCATCACGTCACCCCTACTGCACCCCTACGACAGAAGCACATCCCTCATTTCCTCCCTAACTTTTTCGGCCCTTTTTCCTCCCTTCACCCTTTCCTTTCCCCCATCTCTGCCCCTCCCAGAGGCTCTATGGCACACCATTCACCAAGATAATCGACTCCCTACACCCTTAGAATACAAGCACTTCCTCCTTCCTCCCCACTCCCCTTCCCACATTTTTTTCCCTCCAGAGGCTCTATGGCACACCATTCACCAAGATAATCGACTCTCTACACCCGTACAAAGATTCCTCCCTCCTCCCTCCTCCTCTTGCCGCCACGCGCCTAGAAGCGATCTCAGCCGTCCGTTCCCTCCTCGAATCCTACGGTGCCATGTTCTTCCTGGACGGCGTTTTCCATGCCGACCCGCACCCGGGAAACCTTTTGCTGCTGCCCGGCGCCAAGCTCGGGCTGCTGGATTTTGGGCAGTCGAAGGTTTTGGAGTGGCAGACGAAACGTTCGTTTGCCCGGATGGTTGTAGCCCTGTGTAAGGGTAACCAGCTGGAAATCGCCCTAGCTCTGTTGGGAACAGGAATATCGTTTGGGGGGGAGGCTGATTGGACTACTTTCTTCTCTAAACCAGGGGAGGAGTCAACAGGGGGGAGCGCAGCAGTAGGGGCAGAGGAGGCTGGGAAGGGCGGAAAGGGGGGCGGCGAGGCAGTGAAAGTAGAGCCAATGATGAATGGACACGTGTCAGAGAGTGCTCAATGTAACGGCCTGGCAGCAGTCAATAGTGTGGCTGCTGCTGCTGCTCCTGCTGCTCCTGCTCCTGCAGGGCTGGGCCTTGGTTCTGGTCTGGGACCCAAGCGGCCAGCAGCTTCAGGCTCAAAAGCAGCATCAGCAGACACGGTCACAGCAGCAGCAGCATCAACAGGCACAGGGACAGGGACAGCAACAGCAGCGCCAGGAGGAGAGGAAGTGGTGGGGCTGCCTGGTCTGGGCCCCAGGCCGAGGAAAAAGAAGACGGTTGCATTCAGCGACCCCCTCACTCTCGGCCCTTCTGCCTCCTTAGGTTCTGCTGCCGCCGCCGCTGGTGCTGCTGCTGCTGGCATGCCAGCTGCCCCAACGAAAAGCAACCTCATTGCCCCCGCACCTGCAGTGCCTGCTGCTGGTTCTGCCACTCCCACTGCTGCATCAGCTGCACCCGTTTCTACTACGGCTCCTGCTGCAGCGTCCTCTGCTGCTGCCACTCCTGCTGCCGCCACTCCTGTAGCTGCGGGGGGATCACCAGTGCTGCATGGGGTGGAAGGGGGAACCGTGTCTGCTGCAGTGCTGGCTGCTGTGGTGGCCTTCACAGAAAACGCCCCTCCTGATGACGCCCCTGCTGCTCCCACCACCACTGCTGCTGCTCCTGCTGCTGTTGCTGGTGTGAGTGAGAAGGGAGGGGAGGAGAGCAGTAGCAGCAAGGCAGGTGCGGGGAGGGGAGAATCTGATGGGGAGTCAGTGCTGGCGACGCTGCTCAAGGAGGTGGGGCCGGCCGGGCTGCTGGCAGCAGCAACGCCGCAGCGGCTGCAAACGGTGCAGACGCTGTCGTACCTCATGTTTGACACGCGCCCCATGGCTGAGGCCCAGACGTCGCCCCTTGCTCAGGAGTCTGTGCTTCAGAAGGCGCCGCTCAAGGCGTTCAACCAATCGTACTGGCTGGTGAGTGGTGGGGGGAAGAGGGGAAGGGTTGGGGGATATAGAGGCTGCAGACGGTGCAGACGCTGTCGTACCTCATGTTTGACACGCGGCCCATGGCTGAGGCCCAGACTTCCCCTCTTGCTCAGGAGTCTGTTTTGCAAAAAGCGCCGCTGAAGGCCTTCAACCAGTCCTACTGGCTGGTGAGTGGGTTGGGGAAAGGGAAGAAATGGTAAGATACGGGCTGATCTGGCTGGTAGGTAGGTGTGGGACTAGTGATGGGGAAGGTGGGGGGAAGAGGGGGATACAGGGGCTGCAGACGGTGCAGACGCTGTCGTACCTCATGTTTGACACGCGCCCCATGGCTGAGGCCCAGACGTCCCCCCTTGCTCAGGAGTCCGTGCTTCAGAAGGCATCTTTGAAAGCCTTAAACCAGTCCTACTGGCTGGTGAGTGGGGGGAGAGAGGGGAAGGGGTGAGGGAATGGGGACAGAGGAAGCACGGGGGAGGTTTGAACAGGAATGGGCTCCCTTGTGGGTGCATGAATCAGACCGTGAGAGCCCAATTGGCTCCTTTTGAAGCGCCTCAAAAAGTCACCTCAAAAGGCGCCTCAAATGGCGCCTCAAATGTCGCCTCAAAAGGGGAGGTTTGAACAGGAATGGGCTCCCTTGTGGGTGCATTAATCAGACCGTGAGAGGCCATATTGCTCCGGTACCCTGAAAACTTTTGAGGCGCTCAAAGGTCGTGAGAGGCCATATTGCTCCGGTTCCTTGAAAACGGACTCGAAATTGCTTCTCCTCCTCCCCCTCCCCCTACCCCCCCTCCCCTGCTCCTCCATCTGTATCATATCGTTACGGGCATTCTGCTGCTGTGAGAGCTATTTGATACAAGACTGTGTTTGAGACGTCTCAAAAACACCCCACTTGCCCCACTTACTGTATATCACGTGGCTACCCCACTTGCCTACTCCATTTGTATGAGGAGGCATAGATCATGAGGGACATGCTGCTGCTGTGACGGCTGTGTTACATCTGCCACTTCACCTAATCCCCTGTCCACCTCCCCCCTGCCCATCCTACTCCCCTCTCCTCTGTCTGCATCAGATTGTCAGAGCCATGCTGCTGCTTCGAGGGCTGTGCCACTCTCTGGATGCTGACATCTCAGCCGTCCAATTGTGGAGGCCCTATGCCGAGGCTCTGCTTGCACTAGACCCATAGGAGAGCCCAGAAGCTGCTGCCAGTGCATTGAGAGCCTGCAAGCGCGGTTACTGCATTGCAACCTTTACCTCTGGGAATCTGGAGAAGTCCAATTGTGGAGGCCCTATCTCGAGGCGCTGCTTGCACAAGACTCGTAGAAAAGCCCACCAGCACTGCCAGTACATTGCACCTGTCGATTCTCGAGGCGCCTAGAAATAAACGATGGTGCCGAAACCCTTAGCCAGTGCCTTGGCTTGGCGAGCCCATTCATAGGTGGGGCCACCACCACCCTGTTGGCTCTTAGGGCTCTTTGATTCTCAACTGCTAGTCCCCTAACCAGCAAAGTTCCTGTGTGCAGCCCCTGTTGAGCAGCAGCTAAACACAGGGATTTGACAACAATTTTTCTGTGTAACCTGCCACTTAGATTTGCCTTTCTTTAGCAATGAAATATTAAGTTGTGTGTGTAAAGTGAAGTTGTGCCAAGGCCTTGTCCTGCAAAGAATGGCAGTGTCACATCTAAGTTATGAACAAAATAATAAGCGATTTCATTAGTAGATCTTCTAGGAGTAAGCCTCTCGTGGAGTGGGAAAACGACAGAAAACCTTGGCCTCGAAAGCTTCAATAATATACGGTGCGGAAGTACAACGAGTGTATGTATAGATTAAGTATGTTAGTCTCCAGCATGATAGCTGGTGGCAGGACGCGGGATCTCAGATTAGCCCGTTGGGCTTGAGTACGCCATCCACACCGTGCGCTCGGATAAACTGCCCCTTGAAAAGATCTGGATCGTCGATTTGTGCCCACGTCAGCACGTTCGCCCCAGGAGGGCCCAGAGCGACGGTTGTACCGTGCGAAAGAAAACCGGTCTGGGTTTTGAACCGTACCAGCTGTTTGCCGTTCAATTGCGTTTTCAGTTTCCCGCCAACGGGAATCGACTTTATTTGTGCGAAAGGGTACAAGCCTTCGATGACGTTGAAACGGATCAGATCGCCCATGAGCTTCGGCACTATAGCGCGTATGCCGACTCCCGTGAGAGCGATGTTGGTGGGAATTAAAGCAGTGTTTTCGGATAGAAACTCCACGTTTATGTTTGCTCGGGGCAGTTTCTCTGAAAGAAAGAACAATAAAAGTGCGGAATTGGCATTGAAGAAGATGAGTTGCATGTTGAGGTGTCGCGTCAATCACGTTAGCTGGAAATGATCAGGAAAAGGAGATAGAAGTCGAAGCGGGTAGAGGGTGGGGAGGGAAAGGGAAAGATGAGCGGTGAGGGTGGTTGATGGGGGTTGGGTGGTGGTAAAGTGGGATCGAAAGGGAACAAGGAAATGGTAACACATTGGCCGAAAGTGACGACACAGCACTTACTTAGCTGTTTGATTGACCGTTGTAACGCGTTCGCTACGATCGAGTATTTGAACGGGTTCTTGAGAAGGGTCTTCTGCAGCTGTTCTAGTTCCGCGATGAACTCGGCAGGCGTCGGCCCCGCAGCCGCCGCTACGGCGAGTGAGAGAACGAGAATCGCTCCTAGCAAAGCCCTACTCGCCATGCCACGCTACTCGTGCGGATGCTATTAGGTCGATTTATCTCGCTCGTGAGGGATTGCGAGATTCTATATGTACACGCTCGGTTGATGCTGCTGTGGTTGACGAGTCGTCTTCGTTCGATTGACAGGTCCTACCGCGTGGGCAGTGAGTTTAGATGGAGTCGTCCGTCTGTGCGAGTTACCGAAGAGAAATACATAAATATCACGGATTCACTCGCAATGCTAGTCTGGTCAGTGTGCTTGGCAAGGCAGTGTGCTATTTATACTCCAGAATGGGCCACTTGCAGTCGCGCCAGCTGTCGGCGCTAGCAATCTCTCAAATATGCCAGATTGCGACCGACATTTTTATGATGGGTGCATGGAGGGAGGTGGAAGTGGGAAGTGACTTGATTTGGAAGCACTTTAGATGCTTCCCCTCCTGCTCCTGGAATTGTGAGGAAGTGCGTAGAGTGGTGACGAAATTGGAGGAAGTGGAGGAGTGGGCGTGGCGCGAAATTTAGCTTGCGAATTCTGGAATGAATTTGTTCGCAGCGGCTCGAGAATTTTGTCAGCGCGAGAAGCACGAAGGTGAGGTGGCGTGAGTTGCGGCCTGCTGTGACAGCAACTGATGCAGCTGTCCCTCTTCCGTGTGTTGCGGTGGCGGCGAAGTGCTGAGCGAGTTACTCAGCTGTGGGCGACAGAACATGCCGACAAACAAGCGTTTGGTATTAGAGGGTGTAACTGCTGTATTACTTAGAGCGACAGCTTTTGCGCCAAGAGGTGTCAGATTGTATATTAGTATAAGCATGTACAAACCAGAGAGTCTATCAGCTGGGTTTAGGCACATCTAACAAACATAAGAGCAAAAAGGGAAACTCTTATTCTGCTCGATCACCTTGACCAGCAGCACCCACTTCCGAGCCCCCAGAGCACCTTTCCTACCACTACCTAAGCCAAGCAGGCGGTTTTCGAGCAAGGCAAGGAGTCCGTAACTGGTAGCAGGCAGGCAGACAAGTGTTAGGAGCCCAACCTGGCCGTTGACTCAGCGTCAAATACGCCGAAGCCCGTCTACAGTTGTACGCACATATTTGAAATAAACACTCGCAGGGCGAGAGATTCCCGCAAGTGAGGGCCTGATCAGTGAACGGCCAAGGGGGAGGGGGACACGGTGCTGTGGAAGTGCAGGTAGTGCCGGTGAGAGGCTTTAAGAACATGCGACCACGGCAGGCTGATTCACACGGCGCGCACACTCCCTGCCGAAACGGCATCGCATACGCCTTCTTCGCCGCACACCCGCTGCCGTACGTCACCCCGTCAGCCCCACACACGACCGACGTCGCCAGCGGGCAGACGTCATAAAAGATCCGGTTTTTGCAGGGTATTAGGAGCAGTTGCCCTTGCGAGATGGCGGAATCGTCGCAGGAGGGGAGAGTGTTGGTGTCGCAGATAGAAATGGGGAAAGTGTTGTTGAGGCAGAGAGTGTTGAAATACTTGGATATGGAAGCGAGGGTATCGTTTGCAATGACAGTGTAGGGGATAACGTCGGAAGAGAGTGAGTCGGCGCTGAACGCGTCGATTGCCCCTGCGACACACACCTGCTGCCCGATCTGGAAGTACGGCGGGTCACACTGCGATGGGAAGAGGAGGAGAGAAAGGAGCCGGACGAGCGGAGCAGGGTGAGAGGTGGGGGCATGGAGTCAACATGAGATAAGGAGAACAGGCAGTAACAAGCCAAGTAATCCAGGGTGTATACTAGATCTTACCCTGAGCCTGGGATTGAGCTTCATGAAGTCATCCATGGAGAGCAAAGCAGCGTTGGCGATCACTTGTGAGGCACCTCAAAGTGGTCCCATGCTAGGGTGTACACAATAGCTTACCTTGAGAGCCCAAGGTGTAAAACTAGAGCTTACCCTGAGCCCGGGATTGAGCTTCATAAAATCATCCATGGAGAGCAGAGCAGCATTGGCGATGCGGCTGCAGGTGTCGGCCTGGGTGACAGAGTACCACTCAGCGCACTCCACGCTCACCAGCTCCACTGTCAGCGGCGCCACACAGAGCAGCATTGATGGATCCAAAGGGGCTGTGGTGGTGCATCTCAGCCCTGGGTTGAGGCTGCGAGGGGGGGATGGAGGGAGGGAGGAGTGGGGAGTTAGGGTGTCTGCCTGGGTGACCAAGCACCACTCGGCACACTCCACGCTCACCAGCTCCACTGTTAGCGGTGCCACGCAGAGCAGCATTGAGGGGTCTAGAGAGGCCGTGGTGGCGCATCTCAGCCCTGGGTTGAGGCTGCGAGGGGGTAAGGGCAAAGGGAGCGGAAGAAAAGGTGGGTTACACGAAGGACATTCGCAGACTCGCAGCACCAGTGAGCCCATGGATTTTTTAGTCAAGCGAAACATTTACAGCAAGAAGCGGGTGAGCGAATCGAGTAAAACACTCACAGCAAGAGGCGGGTGAGCGAATCGAGTAAAACACTAACAGCAAGAGGCGGGTGAGCGAATCGAGTAAAACACTCACAGCAAGAGGCGGGTGAGCGAATCGAGTAAAACACTCACAGCAAGAGGCGGGTGAGCGAATCGAGTAAAACACTCACAGCAAGAGGCGGGTGAGCGAATCGAGTAAAACACTCACAGCAAGAGGCGGGTGAGCGAATCGAGTAAAACACTCACAGCAAGAGGCGGGTGAGCGTGATGCTGGCGTTAAGCGCCACATTCATGCAGGTATCCCCCGGCTGCACCCGGTACGTCTGCCCACACGACACAGCCGCCGGCGCGGTTGTCGACAGCATTCCCGACCGCACACACACCGTCGACGACACTCGCAGTGACGGCGATGGAGCGGGCAGCGAGCAGTTCACACCCGGGTTGAGCGCTTGTAACACCTTTGTGGTAACGTTGTTACGCGCGGCGATGGTGGTGCAGGTGTCTTTAGGGGAGATGAGATCGACGGCTGCGCAGCCGAAGGTGACGTTGGTGTCGCCGGCGACAATGAGAATGTAGCCGGGCGTGAGGGGCTGGATGGAGCAGTCGACAAAGGGATTTCGGGCTTCAAGAGATGTTGGGGTGATGTTGAACGCGCGCGCGAGGGACTGGATGGGGAAGGGAGGAGGGGGGGGGGGGGGGGAAGGGAAGGGCGGAGAGAGGAAAACAAGGAAGCGAGGGGAAGAGAGATGGTCAGAAGATGGGAGTGACGTTGGTGTCGCCGGCTACAATGAGTATGTAGCCGGGCGTGAGGGGCGGGACGGAACAGTCAATGAAGGAGTTTCGGGCTTCGAGGGTTGTGGAGGTTATGTTAAACGCGCTCGCGAGGGACTGAAAGGGGGGGAGGAGAGGAAGAAAGGGGAGGAGATGGGGAGAGGGAGAGGGAAGGGAGGAGAGAGGAAGCAAGGTGTGAATCCGCTCCAAGGAAAGGAAGAGGGGAGGAAGAGGAGGAAGAGGGGAAGAGCGGGGACGAGGAAGTATAACAGAGAGAATTGGATGGGAGGAGTGAGCGAGTAGAAAATGGGATGGAGGTGGGGAGAAAAAGGAAGAGGAGAGTGGGGAAGCGGGAGAAGGAGGGGGAGCGGATAAAGGGGGGAGAAGCGGAGGCGGAGTGGGAAGCTGAGGGGAGTGGCGCGCCTCACCTCGCACGTGTCCCCCGCGGCAACGGTGTAGGTCTGCAGGCCGCTCTGAAACGTGCCCAGCACGCACGTCATCGCGCCGTCCGTGCGCGCACCAATCACCGAACCCTGCGGACAACACAGGGGGGGAAGGCGGAAGGCGGAAGGGGAGGGACGGGGAGGAAAATGGGACAGATGGGGGAGGAAGAGATGGTGGTGAAAGGGGCAGCGAGTGGGGCAGCGACTGGACGGGAAGGCTAGAAATCAGGGGGAACGTAGGGGCAAGCAAAAGGAACGTGGAATCGCCGCGCAAAGCAGAGAGGGAATCGTACCGCGGGGCAGGAACAGGTGTAGCTGCCATCGAATTTATTCGAGCAGTTTCCCGAGCCGCACGGATTCGGGTTCGCGCCGCACGGGTCCGCACGCACGCATTTGGGCGGCCCAGTCGATTCCCTCCTCTCAAAAAATCCCGCGGGGCACGTGCACCGCGCCGCGCCATCCGAATCCAATCTGCATGTGCCCCCACCACACGGCTGCGGGCGAACGTTACACGGGTTCGCATTACTTCGCGAATCGTAAAAAGTTGGGTACACCGCAGGTTCGCTGTGGATGTTACACTTCCCACTCGGCTGGCTGTCGTTGAAAATCGGCAGCTTCATGTAACCCGTTTCGCCCCACTCCGGACCCCAGGTGTTTTTCAGCAGCCAGTAGGGTCCCTCCGTCGCATCCAAACTGTAACCCATTACAATCATCGCGTGGTCGATATCTTTTCCGCAAGCTCCTATAAATAACCCCCCGCTGTATGCCCGAAAATCGTCGCTATCCGTGGCGATGTAAACCAGAACCGGCTGCTGCGAAACCGCTTTCATCAACGAAACCGCGCTTTTCGCCGGAACTTTTTCCCAGCCGCTAACGTTCCCCAATTTCACCGCTCCGGCTTGCAATGAGCGGCAACTCAACCCATCCATAGCAGTGTACGGATAATCAATCTCCCGCGCGACGCCGCCGTTGCTCATCGCGTAGAGAAACACCCACTCGGGCCAGCCGCCGCGGCAGCAGCTGCCCGTGCCGCAGTCGCAGACCTGCTGCGGCGCGAGCGGGACGGGCGCCGTTGCGTTGAAAGCGAGGGCCCAGAGCATCGAGAGCAGGTCCGTCGCTGCTAGCGCCCAACAGCTCTCGCACTGCAGCGGGAGGGGAGGAGAGGGGGGAGGGAGACGGGATGAGTGGGGGAAGGGAGAGGAGAACCGGAACGGCGGTGATGAGAAGGAGCGGGCGGTAACCCTAGGTTGACCCCGAATACACGACGACCGTGCGCCTGAAACCGGAAATAACCGAGCAGCCCCGTCCTGCACCGCACTAAACCCGACCGCACCGACGTACGCTCTCCCTTACCCCGTCCTGGAGCAGCAGGCCCGTTCTGTACCGCGACGCGCGCCAGTCGACGAACCGCAGCTGCGACACCGTCTCAAAGCGGTACCACGGCTGGTTAAGGTCGCCCATCGTTGGCGGCGACCCCAGCGCTGGCGCCTGAATCGGCACCAAGTCCGTGGTCAACAGCCGACGCGCCCGCTCCGCGGAACTCAGGCGGGAACTCAGTCCGCGTAACGCCCCGGACCGCCGCGGGATAGAGCGGCCGCCGCCGCCACTGCTGCTGCTGCGGGCCGTGATACTATTAACAAGGGTCATACTAATAACGGTACTGCGGCCGTTCCGGCCGCTCATGGTGATGCGTTCCAAGTCTGTCGTCGCGTCGCCATACCCCTCCTGCAGAAACACCTGCGCGATTTCTTCCAGGCTGCTAGGCTGCTGCGCGCCGTGTTTCACGGCAGCCCACTTCTCCCGCATGTGCACCTCAAAGAGCGGCTCCGGTTGGTCCGTCAGCGCGGCTTTCAAGCGATCACCGCCGCCTAATGCGGAAGAGGGACGCCGCAATGAGTCTACGGCAGGGCCGTTGCGGCTGGCTAGGATTGCAGTCGGGTGGAGAACGTTGAGAAGGACAAGGAGGGCGACAGCCGCGACGGCCATTCGAGAACGCGAAAAGGGTATTCGTCTCCACATTAGGAAAATCGGAAACTGTCGAATACCGTCTCGTACGAGATTAGCCGGTCCGTTTTGAGTCGCCTTATAGATTGAGTTGGGTGGTCGCATCGCCGTAGCCTGCGGGCGTTGCGACGAGCTCGAGGGCGATTCGCGGCGAGAGATCCTCAAAGCCTGATCGGTTACGAGCGTCCGTCCATCGCCGTCACAGCGGCCGGCTAACTTGCTGCCGGAGCAGCCGCCTGACCAAGAACCGTCAGTGGCACAGCCAGTCAGCCTAATTTCAAAGATCGGATGCATTGACGGGTCAGAAACAGTACACGTGGCTGAAGCTATCCCTCTTATCCTTATCCGCCGAACGACGCTACCGAGGCTAGACGGCCTTGCACTACACGGAACGATCCAGCTTGCTAGTCAGACAGGAGGTGTGCTACTATTCAAGAACTTGCGACACCAGCCTAATAACTCATATCTCCAGAGAAAGGATTATGTCGCTGCGTCACGGCGAACGATGTTCGGAAACATTCCTACTGCAGATTAGCATCGTCGAGGTTCGCATCGCATGCGACTTGCTCTGTCAGCTGAACGGAACGTTAGTAACCTTCCAACTCAACTGAAGGGCGGTTGAAATTGCTGTTGCGGTGGCTCCGCCACTACTGCAGCTGCTGAAACCCCTCTATCCAGTCCTTTCAGTCGCGTTGCGCTGGACCCGCGTTCGCTGCGGGGCGTTTTGACAACAGCCACAGTTGCAGCACGTAACCCTAACGGAGAAAGAACCGTTTTACGCCTGCAGGTTTCGGTCCGCAGAGATACAAGCAGTCCAGATAGCGATGGTTAAAAGGGGTAGTTAAAACAAAGGCTTGGGGTAGGGTGTAGCACGGTGGAATGAAGGTAGGAGGTGCACGAGAGCGGCAGTCTTTTTCTGCTGTTTTGTGGAAGGGGCAGAGCGATGCTGTGGGTGGGTAGGATAGGTTGGGAAAGCTGGTTGTGTGCAACACAGGGCAGATTTGTCGCTCCTGGTGAAAGTGGTCGGTGTTTCTTTCGCCACCGAAGCAGAGCTGACCCAGTAGGAAACGCGTTGGGCAGAGAAGAAACGGAAGAAAGAAACCTCTGAGAAGTTTGACACTTCGCGTTACGCCAGAAACGAGAGTGGGAGAGGGGGCTTCGCGTGTGACAGGTCAGCAGCATCAGCCACTGCTGCAATTGTGTCCGTTTCTGGGGCAAGGTGGGAGTGTGGGACTCCCTCGAAACCCAACCCGTTTGGATGGACGATGGGAATCGGGCTGGATTTTGTGGCAGGGGCTCTGAAACCCTTCAGTGTGCGCCTCCTCATAAATGTGACCATCTTCGTGCTGTGTATGTGACTTCTAACAACAAATAACATAGGAAATAAGGAAGCCTGCATGTTTATTTTCGTGGGATTTCGGGGTTTTACACAAGGAAAGCGTCTAGTTGACATGCAAACATGTTTGTGAGATAGTTCAGCGAAGCTGCAAATACAAGACGCAAGCAGTCAACAAATTTGCGGTGCACACTTTTTCCCCCGCCTACCTTCATGAAAAACAAATCCCAGAGCGTAGTCTAGATCGCGGAGCTACCCTGAGTACATTTTTAGCATGTCCTTTCTTTATCAAGGAGAAAGACATAAACGTAGGGCGCATTCTTAATTCTTGCCCTTTACGTTAGCTTGCAGGCAAGCGCTCGCTAGAGGGAGAATTACCTCTGATACCTCCCTCCCTGTAGCTTGTTTAATTCACCATATCGTATGCCTACTCAAATCCAAGATTGACTGGTGGTTGATATGCAAATGACATTGTGTAATTGGGTTATTTATTTCTGCGTGTGCAAAACATAATGTCAAGGTATCAATTACAAAGAGAAGAGTGACTATATAATCGAAACTGCTATTGATCGCGTATATTCACTGCAAAATGCGGACTCTGCATTAAAATGCATCGGTCCCTAACGAGGACCGAGTATATTTCGACAGTCACATCACGTTTTTCACTACAGACAAAACGCGCGCGAGATAAAAGTACCCGAATCTGTACAGTAGATTTGAGAGTTTCGACTTTTTGGCGGGCGTTTCAACGAGTGACCAAACGTGATAACCCTGCGGGGCGAGGAGTGATCAAGCGTGATAGCGCTGTGATCATGCGTGATAGCGAAGTACTGTACTGTGACTGTCCGTGATAACCCCGTGACCAAACGTGATAATACGGCCATAATTGTGACTGCGCGTATAATTTCCCCATCATCACACACACACATCAGCTGAAACAACCGCGCTCTACGGCGCGCAGTGCGGTGGGAGTTCCCACTTGCAACACTGCGTGATCTGTGTCAGCAGTGTCGATTTGGAGGACGAATTTGGCCAACAGCACTCTGCTTCGAACACGACAAGTGCGGACACAAATCTAAAGGACGATCCCGAAATTGGTTTGATGATGAAAAACCCCTGTTACTGTACATATTGGCTATGATTTGCAGGCCATATTGATAATATTAATTTCCAACAAAGCTCCTCTAAAGCAAACAGCACATCACATCTGCTTCATGTCAACACTAAGTGCCACAAGGGTATTATTCACAGTACAGTCACAACCCCATAGATGCACAGAAATTGCGACTCATTGAAGTGGCATTTTCCACACCATCACCACCAGCTCTAGACAATGCAGCTGCTGACGTGGACGGCGGCGACGCCAGCTGGCGGCAGAATAAAAACGCAGCCTGGATCCTATCTTCTGGGGAAGCATCCGGAGCAACCACTCCAGCCAGTCCCTTCATTTCCCTAGCCACGGTTGTGTACTGGCCAATCAGATTCAAGACTTCTTTCTCTGCTTCCTTGAGCACTGGTAGTGGGATCTGGTGAGCAACAGAGAAGGGAAGGTGAAGGGGAGGAAGGTGGAGACGGGGAGAATGGGGGAGATGGGGAGAAAGGTGGAGAAGGGTGGGGGGAGAGTGGTTTTGCAGATGTTTGCACACATCCACACCACAGGCATACTCGTTAACAGGTACAAGCAATCGCAACTGTAGACACAGCAAGGAGAATTTCCACCCACAACACAGCCCTCACCAGAGCGGAGGGTCCCTCATAAGCCTCCATGGTGCCTGCAGCCTGCAAAGGCTTGAGCGTGAGCGGGTAAAAGAGCAGCTGCACCACTGCTGACAGGGTGTGTTTTTGAGACACCTCAAACATGGACTCACCAGAGCAGAGGGCCCCTCATAAGCCTCCCCGGTGCCTGCAGCCTGCACCGGCTTGAGCGTGAGCGGGTCAAAGAACAGCTGCAGTGCTGCTGGCTGGGTGGGCTGCTGCAGTGAAGCTGCTTGTACAGAAGCTGCTTGCAATGATGATGCCTGCATGGAGGGGTTATACAGCTGCAGCGATGGCAGGGACTCAAACTGCTGCTGCTGTAGCAAGACTGGTTGCACTGCCTGCTGCTGGGTCAGTGGCCTGGTTACGTCGACAGACTGCTGCTGCTCCTGCTGGAGCGACTCGATAAGAGGTGACTCGTTACTGTGCGAGCCGAGGGCCAGGGGCATGAAGAGGAGGGCGCTGAGGCCCACTGCTGCTGCTGCCTTGGCGAAGAGAGCAGTGAGGGAGGAGAAGCGCCCTGGCGGTGAGGGGGGGGCCTGCTGGGTTGATGTAGCGGGGTTGTCAGTGGCGGGGGAGAGAGAAGCCGGGGGAACAGAGGAGGGGGAGTTGGAAGAGGGGGGGAGAGAAGCCGGGGGAACAGAGGAGGGGGAGTTGGAAGAGGGGGGGAGAGAGGCCGGGGGAGTGGAGGGGTTTGCGGCAGAGGAGGAAGATGCGAGTGTGGCTGCAGCTGCTGCATCGTTGCTGTTCTCCTCTTGCCATTCATCTGTTTCTTCTGTGTGAGTGCCTACTTTCTTGGTGTGCTCTCCATTCACCTCCGCCTGCTGCTGCTGCTGCTCCTGCTGCTGATTCCCTGAGTCAATAGCTCCAGCTTCTACTGCTGCAGTGCCTGCTGCTGCTGCGGCGGCGGCAGCGGCGGCGGATGACGGTATAACAGGTACAGCAGCACCAGCTGCTGCTGCAGTTGCTGCTGTGGCTGTGGCTGCAGGGGATGGCACAACAGGTGCAGCTGCTGCTGCTGTGGCTGCAGCGGGTGCTGGGCCTGAAACATGGGCGGCTGAAGCTCCGGGTACTGTAGCAGGCGGCGCTGCCGTCCGGGTAGCGGACGGAACCCGGGCGGCAAGAGGTGCCGCTCCCAGCTCACGGCGTTTGGCATCTATTGCCACCACGGCTTCCCGCAGACACGACGCTGAGGCGAGAAGCTTCTCCTCCTCCTGCACATAGGGAATGGCCGGTTGTTGCATTGCAGGCAGGAGAGGAGCAGCAGGCGAAGAAATGGCAATGCAACGAATGAAGCGTGTGCTATGCTGGAAATGGTCATACCACGCTTTACCATTCCAGCATTAACATGGAAGAAATGGCTATGCTGGAAATGGTAATGGTGGTATAAGTGATTTAATCAATGGTGATGTGATCATGATATGAAACAGGCTAAGGTCAGAGGAAGGTTCCTCTATGAGCTGCTCTGATAACGGTTCGGGGTATATTGTAAGTGAGAAATGGCGATACGAATGTTTCACGCAATGGGGGGCGATGATGAGGAAAGAAACCCACCTCTGAGAAATGCTCCTCTATGGGCTGATCTGATAACGATGTCAGTGCCGCCGCGTCCACTGCTGCTGCATTCTTGCCCAGCCGAGACACATGCTTCTTCACCCTGTTGCCAGGAAAACGCCACGCACACGCCATTCACGCCATGCACACGCCACCCACACGCCATGCACACGCCATTCACGCCATGCACACGCCACCCACACGCCAAGCACATGCCACCCACACGCCATGCACATGCCACCCACACGCCATGCACATGCAACCCACACGCCATGCACATGCCGTGAAATCCAATGAAGCATGCAACCGAAACACAGGAAGCAGGCTGAGGAACCAAACCAGAGCAGCGAGGTCCAACTGTTATATGCACCTCACTCCCCACAAAGGGATATGGAAATCGAGGTTCAGGCGTCTCAAAACTCAGAAGTGGATATGGAGATACACATACAAGAATTCTCATGCGAGCCTACTCCAACTCAACCCGCTCCAACTACGTCCCCTTACCTCCCTGCCTTTCGAGAATAAAGAAGAGTTTTGAGACGTCTCAAAAGCCTACTCCAACTCAACCCGCTCCAACTACGTCCCCTTACCTCCCTGCCTTTCGAGAATAAAGAAGAGTTTTGAGACGTCTCAAAAGCCTACTCCAACTCAACCCGCTCCAACTACGTCCCCTTACCTCCCTGCCTTTCGAGAATAAAGAAGAGTTTTGAGACGTCTCAAAAGCCTACTCCAACTCAACCCGCTCCAACTACGTCCCCTTACCTCCCTGCCTTTCCAACTCCAACTCAACTGAGGAAAAAGCCGTCCCTCAGAAGAAACCAAACCTGCCGCTTCTTTTGAAAAGTCTCCAAGGCCGTCCCTTGAAAGTCACCCAGCCTAACTAAGTTCCCTTGGCCCCTTCCTTCACAACCCCATGATGCTGTAGGGTGTTTTTGGGAATTCTCAAAAGTCGCACCAAAAACACCCTACAGCACCTTGGAAGTCACCCAGCCTAACTAAGTTCCCTCGACCCCTTCCTTCACAACCCCACACCCATCACATGTCTTTTTTTTTTTCTGGTCAAACTCTCCACCGGAGCAAACACTGCTCACACATGCCGAGATCTCACACTGAACACATTGACTGCATTGACTGCATTGACTACATTGACCGTGCACAACCCACCTGGACTGCAGAGCAGCAGCTCCTCGCGACAGCTCAGCTGCCAGCCTGGCAGCATTCGGCTCCTTCTGTCCGCCGTCCACCCCTGCCGCCCCTCCGAAGCCGCCCACTCCTGCTAGGCCAAGCAGCTTCAGGGTGCCCGCGCTTAAACCATCCAGCAACCCTGCCAATCCCCACCCCTCCCCTCTTCCCGATGTTGCCAACCCTACCCCTCCTGCAGTGTTTCCCCGAGCCTGTAGCTGCTCCTCCAGCCGAGCCACTTGCCAAGCCATCTGCCGAACCTCTGACCTAGCCTTGGCGAGAGCTCGGAGGCTTGTCGAGTCCTTGTCCCGGGCAGCCGCAAGCTGCCCGAACAGCGCCGACATCTTTTCCTCCGCCCGACCAAGCAGCGCTTGGGCCACGCCCTCTTTCTTCTGCAACTCCTTCACCTGCCCCTGCAGCAAAAACACCCTCTGATTGGCTGATTCCGCTGCCCCACGGGCAGCCGAAAGCTCTTCCTCCAACCTCCTAACCGTCTCCTCCTCCCCTGCAACCTCGTCCAACGAATCAGAACCTGCCACCTGTCCCGCGCTGCCATCACTGCTGGCACCGGATCGCAGAAGGTTGAGCTGGTGAAGGAGCAAGGTGGAGCGCTGGGTGGCTGACGTGGCTTCCTGTGTCGCGCTGGCGAGCTCTGATTGGAGGAACGCCACCTGGGTTCGGAGAACGGCAAGAGAGCCCTCCACCTCCTCCGCTACAGTGGACTGTGTTAGGGGAGGGGTTGGGGGGGAAGAGGGTAAAGGAGGGGAGACGGGGTTGCATGGAGGAGTGGTGGGGAGAAAGGGGGAAGAAAATGAGGAGAGGAAGCAAATCCACTCATTGCAATTGCCCCACCATACATGCAATCAACCAGCGAACCTGATTCTGATTTTTAGGTGCCACAGAATTTAGCAAGCACGAACCTGAGCTGACAGGCTCTCCACTTTGCACGATAGCACCCGAACCTCCTCCCGAGCCTCGGCCTCTTTCCGAGCCACCTCGTCCACCTGCCTCCGAAGCTCCTCCTGCCCGCCCATGGCCGCCGCCACAGCCGCTTCCGCCGCCCGCTCTCTCTCCCTCCCCTCCGCCACCTGTCGCTCCAGAAACGCCAAACGCTCCCGCTGGGCCGTGCGGGCGGCAGCCGCCTCAGTCAGCTTGTCAGCTAGCGCAACGACAAGCCCAGCGAGGCTCGTCTCGTTCTCCAGCGCGTCGGCCACCGCCGCCCGGGCCTGAAGCAGAAGCTTCCTCGAACCTTCCTCCCCGCTCCCTCCCGCCGACTCGAGCTTCGCAAGAAGCTTCTCAGCAGCTTCCCTCCTCTCCCTAGCCTCCCTCTGCATCCTCTTAGTAGCTCCCAACTCCGCCATCACCGCTTCAGACCGCGCTACTGCACCTTTCCACACCTCCCTCTCCCTCCTCTCCCTCCCCTTCACCTCCTCCAGCTCCCGCGCGACACCTGTCAGCGCCTGATTGGCCCGTTTGGCCGCCTCAACCGCCGCCTGCTCCCTCTCCCTCAGAACATCTACAAGCCGGGCAAAGAAATCGCACCGCCCGTGCGCGATTCTGGAAGCTTCCTGGGCAGCAGAAAGCTCTTTTTCAAGCTGCTCCACCTGTAGAGAAAGCTCCTGCACTCGAACCTGTGCTGCTCTCTCCCTTGCTGCTACCACCTCCAAAGCCTCATTCGCCCTCTCAGCCTCTCTCCTCGCATCCCTCTCTCTGCCTTCTAGTTCGCGAACCACACCTGACAGGAACCCTACTCGCTCTTTTGCCTCTGCTGCTGCTTCTTTTGCTGCTGCCTCCCCCTCTGTGACCCTCGCCAGGTCTTTTTCCAGAGTGAGCAGAAGCTGCCGAGCCGACGCCGCCCGCTGCTCTGCCTGCTGCTGCGCCGCTTGGAGCTCCTGCTCCCGCTCACGCCTCTCCCGGACCTCTGCTTCCAGAGCTGCCACCCGGTCAGCTTCGGTGGCTGCCGAACCTAGAGCTGCGGCTTGGGCTGCGGCCAAAGAGGAAGGTGCAGAGGAACCTTCTCTCGCTTGCAGGGATTGTAACTGGCCGGCGAGTTGACTTGCCAACTGGGTGGCAGCAACTGCTTCCTTCTGCGCTGCGGCATGTTTGTCCTGTAGTGCGTTGAGCTGGCGCAGGAAGAAGGAGATCCGATCCTCCGCCGCCCGGGCGGCCTGGTCTGCGGCTTGCTGCTTCTCTTCGAGACGAGAGATGTGAGCCTTGAGTAGAGCAATGCGGTCAGACGAGGTGAGCTGGCGGCATGGCGTAGTGGGAACATGAGAGACACACAGCAGCACCGAGGAAGAGGAGGGCAAGGGGATGCGTGAGTAGAAAGAGTGGCTTCCCGGGGCCTAGAAAACGAACAGAAGCTGCGAAAAGAAGGAAGATGTGGGAAGAAGGACGGGTGGAGAGAGCTGCTTGAGAAGCAGATGAGCAGCATGATAGGACAGGGAAGGGAGAGGGCAGGAGAGGGCAGGGGAGGGCAGGGGAGGGTAGGAGAGGGTAGGGGAGGGCAGGGGAGGGTAGGGGAGGGCAGGGGAGGGTAGGGGAGGGCAGGGGAGGGTAGGGGAGGGTAGGGGAGGGCAGGGGAGGGTAGGGGAGGGTAGGGCAGGGCAGAGCAGAGCAGAGCAGGGCAGAGCAGGGCAGGGCAGAGCAGGGCAGAGAAGGGAAAGGGGGCAGAGGACTCACCTCGACATCATCCATCTGCTTCTCTGCTGCCCGTGCAGCCCTGCGAATGGCCGCCTGCAGAAAGAAAGAGAGGTGCGGCAAGGGAAAGCATGGTACACTTGTGTGTGAGTGATTGTATGTGGATGGATGTATGTGTGTGAGTGACTGTATGTGGATGGATGTATGTGTGTGAGTGACTGTATGTGAATGGATGTATGTATGTGTGTGAGTGACTGTATGTGAATGGATGTATGTGTGTGAGTGACTGTATGTGAATGGATGTATGTGTGTGAGTGATTGTATGTGGATGGATGTTTGTGCGCATGCATGGTGGAGAAAAGGTTGAGAAGGGACACGGCAGAACGGGTGGACGGGACAAAACAGCACCAGATCAGGCGCAGTGCGCACGCATGCAAGGATCAAAGCACACGCATGGATGGATGGGTGGATGGATGGAAGGAACAAGGCGAATGCATGCAGGGATCAACACGTACCTTGGAGATGGCGTCAGAGAGTGCCACGTCAGCAGCCACCATGCGCTGGAAGCCCTCTGCCACCAGCTTACGCTCTGCCACCTGGCAGCACGCGATTGGGTGGAAGTGGGAGCGGAGCAGAAATCATGCAAAGAGGGGCTGATGTGGAAGAAGGGGAGCTGCAGCTCAATACTGAGAAGAACATGTGGAGCAACAATAGAGTCACACTGCGCGAAAACGATACGGGGGAAGGGAGGAGGAGGGAAGTGGGGAAGCGCGGTGCAGTGTGGTGCGGCGCGGTGTGGTGTGGTGTGGTGTGGTGTGGTGTGGTGTGGTGTGGTGTGGTGCGGTGTGGTGCGGTGTGGAGCCCACCTGCCAGTCATTGGCACTGGACCCAGGCACGCCATTTGCTATCCTCGTTTGAAGCTCCTCCGCTGCAAGGTCTGTGAGACGCCTCATGTTGCTGCCTGCTAGCTGCGCGTGAGCCTGTGAATGCACATGCATGCAAAAGCATGGACATGCATAAGCAAGCACAAAACCACATACGCACATGCGCACCAGCATGCACACACACACACACACACACACACACACACACACACACACACACACACACACACACACACATATACACAAGCATGCACACACGCGCACCCATATGCAAAAAAATGCACACACGCATACAAGCACGAACGCACATGCACAAAGTTAGGTGACGCTGGAAACAGACAGCTGGAGCCACATCCATGAGCCAATGCCATACCCCTGGCAACCCACCTGAGAAGGCACCTGAGAAGGCACCTGTGACGCCACGCACCTTCTTCCACACGCGCATGGGCGGGTCAGCAGCCGGGCATGCCCGGCACATGTCCGCCAGAGCAGTGCTCACGTCCGCTCCCTTCACAAACGTCGTGTAGCTGGTTGGAATCCCACGTGGCATCAGGAGACACGTGGCACAAGGAGACGAGTGTCATAAGGGGACACGTGGCAAAAGGAGACAGGTGGTGATGAAACGAATGAGACAGGAAATGGAACACGAGGAAGAGAGACGAGGCTTGGAGCCTTGAAAGAAGAAGGAAGGATTCGAAAGACGAGCAGGTGCGGAAAGAGCAATGCGTAAGTGGGAGAGGCACAGAGCAGGAGGGAGGGAGGGAGGAAAAGAGCGATGGGGGAATGGGTCGGGGAGCAGAAGGTGGGGGTGGGGGCGGTGGGGGCGGTGAAAGTGCTAAGGGTGCAGAGAAAGCTGAAAAAGACGAAGAAAGTGAAACGCGGAAGTTGTGCTACAGGTGCTAAGCGTATTTACCCCAGAGCAACAAGGGCACTGGCGGAGTGAGGAGAGCAGCTGACAACGGCGACTCTGTGCCTGGTTGCCACCAGCGCCGCCACCACTCACTCACATTGATATTTTTGAGGCGCCTCTAAAGCAGACTGCTAAAACGAGGACTCACCCTAGAGCAACAAGGGCACTGGCGGAGTGAGGCGAGCAGCTGACAATCGCCACTCTGTGCCCTGTCGCCACCAGCGCTGCCACCACTCGCACCGCTTCCAACACCTGCGAAACCACGTCCTCACCCCCCTCCCCCTCCCCGTCCTCCTCCAAGCACCCCTCCAAATCCGACTCCCCCGCTTCCCCCTCGGATAACACTCCCCGCCACCCCTCCCCCGGCTCCCCTTCCACCCGCGCCGCTTCCGCCCGCCCCCCTGCGGCGGCTTCCCCCACGGGCAATTTGAGCGCCACGCCGCCCTCTCTTGCCAGCTGGCGGGTCACGGCGGACCAATCAACGGCCAGCGCTGACTCGTGCTCCGACGGCTGTGATTGGCGGGGAGGTGGGAAGGTGGGGAGAGAGGGGGAGGGGAGGACGATCAGAGCGCGGGGTCGAGTGAGGGAGAGACAGAGAGAGAAAGAGTGAGGAAGGACGGTGTCGGACAGAGTGTGCGGTGGAAGGTGGGGAGTGAGAGAGCGAGCGAGAAATGCGGGCGACGAGTGGGTCCTCTACTCAAACAGAAACATGGTCACATCACCAGAAACACTAACCAGTAACGAGACGACAGCTGTCACGCCCGCCCTGGACGTCACCACGTCCACGTCAGCAGCCGACACGAGCGGCGAGCCTATGAGCACGTTCTCTGCCACCTGGCACCACGCGATTGGCCACTCCGCCTCCATGTGAAGGCTCTCCTGATGGCTCTGCGCCAGCGACTCCCCCTCCCCCAATCCCTCCCCTTCCCCTTCCTCCTCCGCCTCATTGGCGGTAACCGCGCGGAGCGTCCGCGGGTACGTCCCCGCGCGCCTCTCGTCCCGCGGGGTACCCGCGTGTCCGTTCCCGCTTCCCCCTGCAGCGCGCGAGAACGGCGGAACGATTGGGGGAAGCGCGCGGATGACGGAAATCAGCTGGAATTGCGAGACCATGGCGCTGCTGTCGCCTTCCGCAAACACCACCTCGTGCACATAACCCACTCCCTCCGCCCCTTGCCACCGATCCCCACCCCTGTTGACGCCTAGAAACCCGTTATCAGCTCCTGAAGCACCACCAATGCCGGTGATTTTCGGAATGTTCGACCCGTTCAGGTTCTTCCTGTTAATAGCATTGTCCGCCGAGCGAAAACGGCTATCGGGCTGGTCTTTATTGCTGACATCGGAGCCGCTGAAATCCGACGGTCCACCGGCCGTCGCTTGGATCACCAACGGCCGCGATTTCTTCCCGTCGTTTAGGCGGGAACAGCCGGTTCGCCGGAGAAATCTTGGCGAATGTCGTGAAAAGCGTGGGGATAAATAGCCGGGATATAACTGCTGGCTATTACGTGGTGACCTAATATATATACCAGGCCGGTGAAATGCGGCTATTGTGACCACGCCGCGGGGATTGCGGAGACGGTTCGTTACTTTCAACGCTATTGCACGGCCAGTTGGGGAAAGCGGCTGGACGAACGGTTTCGTGGCAATGCGAACGGTAATGGGTGACCTGTAGATGTCCTCCGGTCGCCACGTGGCAAAAGTTGCGGTCCGTAAGGTTGCCATTGGGATACAGAGTGGCACGTTGCTCCGAGTTAAAACATCCGCGATAGACGACTGAGCAGAGGAGGTCGCAGGCACGGCGATTGATGCTGCTTGTTAGTCTTGTTCGCCTGAGAGCCTGGGCACTACTAGAAACAACAACACTCAAGTAGAGAGCTGAGGTGGAGGGAAGGAGCTTCAAGTCCTCGATTCAAACTGAGGGAGATGCCCGATCCGGAGCAGGGTTGCCCGTTCATAGCGACCTCGCCTTTCCATTTAACTCAACCATCCGTATATTGTTTTGAGTTATCATGTGGATTGAGTCGCTACTTTCTGATAAAACGAGATCTTTGATATTGAGACAAATGCTGCACAGCAGAAGGCACACATTAGCTAGGAGGATGTAGCTAGGCACGAACGAGGCACATAGCATAGCCGAGCCTTGACCGAGGCAGGATATTGGGCTGGAGCAGCATCTCACCATTGCTTGACACGTCATCGAGCGGTGCTGCGTTGTGCACGGAAAACCAATTGCCACTCTGGAACTTGCCCGATGAACGTGTTGGAGATATACACTCGGCGGCACCCGTTGTTGCTTGCCAGCCAAACCTAGAATGACGGAGACATTTTTATACAGTGTGTTTCTTACAGTAGTTAAACCGTTCGTTTTTATCGGTGCTCTGGCACATCTGGAGTACTGTAAGGAAAATTCCTTTTCCTTACTTCGCATCCCTGCTCAACGCGTACATCACTGTAGCACCACAGTCAGCACCGTTACCACTCGCAACCCTCGCATCGACAATCCGCCCGCCACCTTCGCACATCGCACCCCGACCTCACGGCTCGGCGGATAACCCGCGCTCCGTGTCAAAATCAGAAAGTGATTGTAACCAGGATCACCTCAGGAAGGTTCGCACAATTCTAGTCTAGTGGTGGTGGGCCCTTGACCTCAATAGCAGAGTGAATGTAAATGCTTGAGATAATAAACACGTGCAGTACAAGGAATATAAATATGAGTACAGGGGAATTCGAAACGACCTAACTAGCCATGTACTCTAAGGGGTACATTCCCTTATTGCAGCGAAATCCAACCGTGCGACTCCGAGTGGTTACGTAACTGTTCGGGCAGAATCCTCGCCACTGCTGCTGCCTGATGCTGTCTGCCCGACGGTCCAGATGCTCCTCGTAACCGTCTGTCCCTTCGCCTTTCTTCTGGCTTTTCGTCTTCACTCTCGATAGTGCGTGCTTCGGCTTTACTACGGTGAGGAGTGCGCAACAGTGTTTTTCATTAACTACTATTCGTAACACCCCCCTTCACTCCTGGCCGTAGCGAGCATTGACCCGCTTGACTACCCCGCTGAGTTCGGAGCAGTGCTGGTACTGCTGACGCGGCAGTCTCTTCGTGAGGAAGTCTGCTGCCATGTCACCCGTTGGGCAGTATGTTAGGTCAACTTTGCCTTTGTCAACTTCGTCCTTGACGAAGAAGTACCGCAGTGCGATGTGCTTGGTGCGGTTGACGAAGCCAGGTTTGTTCGCGATCCTGATCGCGCTCTGATTGTCGCAGTGCAGGCGAAAGTTCGTTGAGGCCGGAATTTTTGCTTCCTGCAGCAGTTCCTGAAGGTAGAGACCTTCGCGAACAGCTGCTGTTGCTGCGATAAATTCAGCTTCCGCCGATGACAGGGCAACCAACTCCTGCTTCTGAGAATTCCAGGAGATGGGGCCGCTGGGCTCGAGGCGGAAGAGGAACCCTGTCCTGGACCGTCGATTGTCAGGGTCAGCGGCGTGATCGACATCCACGTAGCCGACGAGGCTGAAGGATCTGGTTGGGATGGTGGAATAACTGAGCCCGACATTGGGCGTGGAGATGAAGAATTGAAGGGCTCGCTGAAGATCTGAGAGATTCTCAGCCGTTGGTTTGCGTGAGTACTGAGCCAACTGGCTCGCAATGTAGGAGAGGTCGGGCCTGCAGGTAACAGATGCGAAAAGCAGGCATCCCAACTGCTGCTGGTAAGTGTGAAGCCCAGCAGGGGACAGGGCTTTGTTGTCAGGCTTGTGGTTGGGTCCTGGAGTGCGGTAAGGGGTGGAGAGTGGTGCAGGCGCAATGTTGAAGCGCTTGCTAAGCTCCTCCGCATACTTCGCTGCTGAGAGATGAATGGCTTCCGGCGAGTAGGTGATGTTGAGTCCGAGAAACTGCTTCACGTCATGATTGCAGGTGATGTCGACGTGCCCTGCGAGGCTTCTCTCAAATTGCTCGAGCAGTTCGTTGCTTGAGCCTGTGTAGAGAAGGTCGTCGACGTAGACCGTGAGGAGGATGTATTCGCCGCGGAAATCGCGGCGATACATTCCAGGATCGTGAGGCAGCTGCTTGAACCCGATTTCAAGCAGTATGTTGTGCAGGTACTGCTGCCAGAGTCTCGGTGCCTGTTTGATCCCATAGAGAGACTTGCGTAGCTGACAGACGCGTGGGTCTCCGTCGCCGTAAGTGTGTGGCTGTTCCACGTAGATCACGGCGTCCACTAATGCGCACAGGAACGCATTCTTCACATCGATCTACCGGAGTGGTAGGTGTCGTTCGGCTGCGATGGCGAGGAGAATTCTGACGGACGTGTGACGGCTGACCGGTGCGAATGTCTGGTCAAAATCAATCCCGTGCCTTTGGTCGTAGCCGCGCACCACCCAGCGTGCTTTGAATCGCTCAATCCTTCCGTCGGCTCCTGTCTTCACTCGGAAGACCCATTTGCCGGAGAGAATCCTTCTCCCTTTTACTGCTGCACGGTTGACGAGCACCCAGGTGTCGCGCGACTCGAGTGCCTGGATTTCCGCATCCATTGCTTCGCGCCACTCCTTGTTGTGTGTGCCTGTGAGAGCTTGCCGTGGGTTCTTAGGTTCGATGATGCGCGGAGCAGTGGAGATGGCAGCGTGTAGTCCAAGTTGCTGGAGACCGGTGACAGTGCTGTCGTGGCGATGTTGAGTGACGACTTCCTGCACGTCGTCATCATCGCTTTCTGGTTCAGGCGGTGCTGGCGGTGCTGTGTCTCCGCCACTTCTGCTTCCTCTGCTGCGCCTCCTCCTGTAGCGCCTGTTCCTCCTTCACCTGAATCATCGTCGTCGTCGTCGTCGTCGTCGCGGCGATCGCCCCTTGTGAACTCGCCTCTGGGATCCTGCTCCAGAATTGCTGCTGCTGCTTCGTCCTCAGGTGAGGCGTAGCTGTGGCCCTCGTTGGCGTAGACGCGGTTTGCATTCGTCTGCTCGTCGTCACGAAATTGTTGCAGAAACAGTCGCTCGTAGAAGATGACATCGCGCGCATTCTTGATTTTCTGGCTTAGGAGATCCAGGATGATCCACGCCTTGTGTTCGTGGCTGATACCGAGATGGATTCCCCAGCGCGCGCGGCTTTTGAACTTTCCGATGGTTGATGTTGGTGCTCGGTATTGAACCATGCAGCCCCAGACGCGGAGCATGGAGGTGTCCCCCTTTCTTCCCGTCCATTTCACGTGCGGCGATGAATTGCCAGTGATTGCGGTGGTTGACAGCAGGTTGTGCACCCGCACGGCGTGGTGCATCGCGTAGGTCCAGTAGATCGGCGGGAGCTTTGCCTGCCGCATTAGCGCCCGTACCTTCGTCATGAGGGTGCGATTCGTGCGCTCCGCTACGCCCTGCTGCTGGTGCGCGTAGGGGAGGGAGATGTGATGCTCGATCCCCTTTTGCGCGAGGTAATCCTGCAGTTCCTTGCTCCTGAACTCCGCCGCACCATCGAACTGCCAAATCTTCAATTTCTCCCCAGATTGTCGCTGCGCGTGCGCCAGCCACAGACG